AGTCATCACAACTTAATCAACCCAAAATCAATTGAAATAACAAGGGTCATTGTTATCCAAATCAGTTATGAATACCCTATTAACATTTTTCTTTCCTTCATTATTATTTCAAACAAATAAAAACTCAATCTTTGTATTTATAATATGTAATTAATTTTTTAACCCAACATAAAATGAAACTATGTTCCTATTCCTTTCATGATCATAAAAAAAAAAAGAAATTAATTGTAATAACCAGAAATACAAAGTCCGATAATTGATTACAAAGAATTATCAAAATTATGATGATCACAAAATTTAATAACCAAATTAAATCAAATTAAGACCTATTTATAATGACCAAATTATTACAAATATGTGTATCCAGACAAACTAATGTCCTTAGACTCAGAAAGCAAGTCAATCCTTGGAAGTAGCATCATGTTTCGGTTTCAACAGAGGAAGCAAACTGAAATCAAATAAACGATGTCTCGGTTTCAGCAGAGGAGGCAAACCAAAATCAAATTAACCTAGAGCAAGCATGAAGTTTCGGTTTCAACAAAGAATGAAATAAATCAAGCTACACAAATAAACCGAGGAATGAAATCAACCCACCGTTGAAGCAAAACTTCCAGCAGTTATGCACCAAGCAAACAACCACTCAAGCCAACACTAAAACGAAAATGAACTACGGTGAGACTAATTCTGAGAAGGAAACAAATCTATGAACCAAGAAAACAAATAAAGACCACCAGACGATGCACTACATGTTGGCAGAATAGGCATGAACCAATCGAAATAGAGACTAGCAGCAAATTAAAGCCAGGATTTCGACGTAATGGAGAAGAAGAAAAGGAATGAGGAATAATTCATTTTTCAAGAGGAGACACCTTACTTGAGCACCAAATCCGAGCTAGGGAACCACCGACGGTGACCTCACCAAGACAAAACCACCACCAGTGAAATGCTTCACAGCGATGAACCCAGCCAAACAATGAACAAATCACAACCCAAGGGGTGATCTTCTTCTACAGAGCAGAGGATTCTCTCACCGGCACCTTCAAACTGTGACTCAACCATGACTTCACCGGCAGCACTGCGTTTTGGCCTAGGCAGAGCAAAGGAGGAAGGCAATGCCTTCTGGCTGAATTTGTTTTCTGATGTACGAAGGACCGAAGAGTGAAGGATCGAGACTGAAGTATGAAGGACCAAAGAGCTCCGTTTTCTTCAGAGCGAAGCACCGAGATGAAGTGAAGGACTGAAGAGTTCTGTTTCTTCAGAGCATATGACTGAGAGTGAAGGACCAAAGAGCTCTGCTGCATAGGACCGAGAGTGAAAGTGAAGGAATGGCAAATAATTGAGGCCCGTTCTCTGTCATATTCCCTGGGCCCACCACCAACGATCAATAATTTTAAGCAAGAAGCAGCTTTGGATAGCTTCATTCGAAACCACGGTTTTGGGGGCAAAACCATGGCTTCCCCCCAAACCATGGTTTCAGATTAAAATAGGGTATTTGTCTGATTTTTTTCCAAACCATAGTTTGGGGAGATAGCCAAGCACCCCCGTAGTTCATACTGCTCTTAATTCATCTAAAATTTAAGCAGGGCCCATGCATCTCAAAACCCCGAAAACAAAATACGTTATTTGAGACTCATTAATGATGTGAATTACTTTAAATCTATTTAATATTGATTGTTGGCATTAATTCTTTTGGATTTGGTAGCCAAAGTAGGCGTGTATCATGCATTAATTAATACCATATCGATTCTCAATATAAAAGTAGTTTGACATTTAATTTAGTCCTAAATATAAGATATTCCATATCCATATGTTAAATATTTCATCAAATAAATAAAAGTTAGTTTGACATTTAATTTAGTCCTAAATATAAGACTTTAATTATTTTTATCTCTAATATTTATTCATTTTTTAAGATAATCATTGTTGTAATTACATATGTTAATATTTTCATCAAATAATAGTTCTGTCTAACAGTCTAATACAATGATTAGCAAGAATATTTTAGAAAAGACAACACATGTTTATTACAAATGACTAGCTTAACTAAATTTTTTTAATTTACTCAAATTAGTTAACTAGTTCTTATATTAAGAACCGGAAGTAATCTATTATTATACAACTGAATGACACAACACCGAATATTGGTATTGACAGACTTGTAAAAAGTAGTGTTTTTGTTTGGTAGAGATAGAACATGCAAGACTAGTGAAAAATCAACACACACACACACACAAAAATGTGGTCGATAGGCTCTCTTTATGTTCCTTAGCTGTAAACATTGCTTTCACATTTCTATCAATAATAATAATATTATTATTATACGATGTCATGATGTGTTTACCAATGTTCACCAACAAGCTATTGGTTGAGACAGTAAGTGGTCTTACCCTTGTAAGAAAGAAAACACAAGTTTGACTTATTAGAAAGACTTTAACCTTAATACTCTTGGCCCGAGGTCCCTATGTTTAATTTTCTATGATAAGATTGAGAAATTTCATTAAGTTGGGGGAGGAGTAGGAGGTAGGCATCACATTGAGTGGACAAATCACACATGATATATACATATACATATACATATATATAATCTTCACTTGATCTATTAAATCAAGTTTGGTTCCTTGTGTTTGTTTGTCTGTCTTTAGGGCCAAAACTTTAGTTAAAGTATATGTGAATGTTCATCTCATGATGATGAGATTCCTTGAATAAAAAACTTTCTATGATGGATGGCAGATGCCACTTATTGCCTTTTTTGGAGTCGGCTTGTTCAATGTATATCTTCACTCTGGTTTTCTTCTAGGGTTTTAGTTTACTACTCATGCAATGTAATTAGACGTAGGTTTGGTTTGAATTGTTAATTTGTTTAGCTGGTTGTAGTATTTTGTCTGGTGTTGGACATTTCATTATGTGAACCTTCTTGTGTGTGATGATCTACAACTTTGATTTTTATTATAAATCATTGCAGAGAAAATGTAATCCAAAATATAAGTCACTTGTAGAATATTTTTAAATTTTATCCTTATTTATTTCTTGTTGCAAAGAAAGAAAGAGAAGAGAGATGAGAATGATTTATAGAGGAGAAAGAGAAAAAAGTTTTAATAAGGGTAAATTGAAAATTTTTTATCAGTATAATACATTTCTTGGTATTAAGAATGAACTGCAAGTAACTATAATAAGGACTGAAGTGTACTAAACTTTTTTTCTCATCAAATATGTTGCCATATTTTATAAAAATATTTTTACAAGATTTTTTTTAATTTATGTTTAGAGCCTGGATATAATTTCACATGGCATCCTTAACTTTCAATTAACTTCCCAATTAGCGGCGAGTAGAATCAGCAGCATATGGTTAAACAAATTTTCTTCAACATCATAAGATTTTTCTGATATGGACTTTCATACGTAAAAGATAATACACAAGTAGCCATTTATATATATATATATATATATATATATATAAGTAAAATACTAAAAAAAATGCTTTTTCTGCATTAAGAAATATGTGAAACATAGTTAAAAAAAAAAAACTCTTTGATAGACTCTACAATTATCTATTTTCCCCGTAAAAATTATATAATCATTTTGTCATACCACAATTTTGGTAAGAACAACACGATATTTGACACTATTAATTAATAATTAAAAATAATTTATAATAATTAACTTATACCCTTGCATTGCATGAGTGTATCCTAGAGCCTGACTTGTGTAATTTGTTAATAGGAAACAAATTACCTAGATTTTTTGTTTCAACTCTCACAGATGATGAAAACATATCAACCTCATTAATACTGGAAACCAAGCGTATTCCATTAATGAGAATTGTATGATGAAGCTGTTGTTAAGGCTGCAGAGTAAAGTCTGTTATTCCTTTAACTCGTCCTTTTTTAATAGTTGGTTGGTAACAAGTCATTATATATAAGATTAATACTTCAAGCACACGATATAGAAACCAACCATAAGATAAAATAAAAATAGAAAGTAAAATAATAAATTATTGGAAATAACTATTTATCACTGTCCACTATTATTGACCTTGTTCAGCTGCAAAACGAATGATTCTCCTCACAATATTTTTTTTTATTTGTAAGATTTTAATCTAAAATGTTATATAGGAAATATCAAGTCCTTGATCTACTTATCGCTGCCATATTAATTTGATCCTCCACCCCACCTGACCTGATAGTTGTAAGATTTTTTTTTTTAATAGGCGCAGGGATCCTTCTATTTATTGTTAGTATTGTTTTTTTAATTTTTTTTCCAAATATGCTGTCTTCAATCCTAAATGTAAGACTATATTAATTTATTTTATCTTTTAAATTTATAATTTTTTTAGACTATCTTTATTGATTGCACATGTAAAAAAAAGTTTTTATTAGTAGGGGTAGTTTTCATTTAAACTTATCTTTAATATATCTATAAATTAGTTATTTACCACCTACCTTTGGAAAAATATAGGAGGAATACTTTATATACACACACAAAGACGCACTTTTGCAAAGGTAAGAAATGTAGATTAGAAGCTGCAGATGAGAATTTGAAGCATAAATGCAGGGGATGGTAGAAATAAAGAAGCATGATTGACGAGTAATGTTTAAAGCCTCTTTCTCAAAATTCCACATTCATGGCTCCTTGCAATGCCCCACTGTCCACTCCCAAAGCGGCGGCCATTTTTCTTTTCTCCTTTCAACTCTGAACCACTAGTTTGCTTTCTCTCTCTTCCCATTAATTGTGGTTCCACAAGTCAACCACACTCTCCACTATATATACCATGCCCTTCAAGAGCATTCTCATTCCACAGAGACAAACAATTAGAAACCAAATCCTCCAAGCCATCTCTCTCTCTCTCTCTCTCCTCTCTCTCTCTCTCCTCTTTTATGAGGAAATTTGTCATCTAACACAGACCCATTTTTCCTTCGTGTGTTAATTTTGTTGGGTTGATTTCAAAAACAGAGAAAGATCAAGTTTTGATGAGAAAATTGTTAATCCATCACTGGCCCTTGTAACAGGTAGGAGCTGAGTTCATAGGCACTCTGATTCTAATGTTTGCAGGGACAGCCGCTGCTATAGTGAACCAGAAGACACAGGGCGCCGAGACTCTTATCGGCTGCGCCGCCACCACTGGTCTCGCCGTCATGATAGTCATCCTCTCCACCGGCCACATCTCCGGCGCTCATCTCAACCCCGCCGTCACTATCTCCTTTGCTGCACTAAAGCACTTTCCATGGAAACATGTAATAATAATGACTTTGTGCTCTTAAATCTCTTCTCTTCTTCTTCTTCTCTCTTACTTTTGACTCTTGAAAACTATTTACTCATACAAATCCAAGTATGATTCGTGAACGTATATATTTGCAGGTTCCAGTGTACATCGGAGCTCAAGTACTGGCGTCAATATGTGCAGCATTTGCACTGAAGGGGATATTTCATCCCTTCATGAATGGAGGAGTCACTGTTCCTTCTGCAGGATATGGCGAAGCCTTTGCTTTGGAGTTCATCATCAGTTTCAACCTCATGTTCGTCGTCACCGCCGTAGCCACCGACACAAGAGCCGTAAGTATAATTTTATATATATATATAGAGAGAAGTTCCAGAATAGAAAGGAACATAGGTTGATTGATCCGATGAAGTAGACTTGTAATTGAATAATTAAAAGAAGGATTTATATAATAATAGTAATAAATATAGTATTATAATGGAAGTGGAGATTTGCTGATATAATCTGAGGAGGTTCATTGATTATTTGGAGATGATGGATGAATCCAGGTTGGAGAACTTGCGGGAATCGCAGTGGGAGCCACGGTCATGCTCAACATCCTTATCGCAGGGTATGTACCAAACATTAATCTAATTATTAGTCTAATTTATATAAGTATAACTTTATACTGTCTGACACAAACCACTGACTCAGATTTGAGTATCATCAAATAAATAAAAATAAATATAGGTACTTTTCTGTTCAAAAAAGAAGAAGGTAGTTTTCTTTTCTTAACGTGATTTCTTTCATATAACAAAATCCAAATCCCATGACTCAATAATATCAAACCGATAGGTTTGACAGCATAAATCTGTTTATATACAAAACAGTTTCTCCATCTTTCTTCAAGTGTCTATGCTAGTATGGGGGAACAAAATTCATAAAGCATTATTTTGGCATGATATTAAAACCTAACTTAGGTTATCCGGTTAGACTAATGAATCGACAACTTGGTCAAAAAAAAAAAAAAAGGACTAATGAATCGACAAACCAATTTCTAGCCGGCCCAATTGAAAATTTTGAACAAGTTAGGCCAGCAAGTCTAGAATAACATCATTTTGAATTTCCTGAAAAAATAACAGTTTGTCAAATTTGTACTTTAATAACTATGTTTTGTTAGGTTATGTGATTTATACATGAATATTTCATTTATTTATGAATAAATATCTTTTCATTCGAATATTATTCTTTTTGGGATTACATATGCTTTTTTTTTAATATATATTTGAGTTGAATTATATTATTTTAATTATGAACCATCTAATCCCAATCCTGATTTGAACTATTGGCCCTCAAACCGCTGTTATTACCAGTTTAACGGTGGTTGTACAAAAACAAAGCATAATAATAGTAGTAATAAATTAATGGAGTGAATGGTGTACTTGTGGCGCATACAGGCCAGCAACAGGAGGGTCAATGAACCCAGTGAGAACACTAGGGCCAGCAATAGCAGCAAATAACTACAGAGCCATTTGGGTATATCTCATAGCTCCCATTCTTGGAGCTCTCAGTGGAGCAGGCACTTACACTCTGGTGAAGCTCACTGATGAACAAGAAGAAGAGGCCAAGGTCACAACTTCTGCCCCTGGCAGCTTCAGAAGATGACCATGTTCTCAACATCATGCATGCCACCCAATAATAAACAACTAAACAAGTGGGCATTGAGAATTTGTAATCCTTGGTTCCTGCCCATATAATATATACAATTTTAGTTGAGCAGGAATGTGTGTGAGGAGATAGATTCTTGTAATGTTTTAAGCCAAAAAAGAGTGGTGTGAGTGATACATGTATATATACTGTATTGTCTTTTCTTTTTGTGATCAATGAATCAACCAATGAATGAAGCTAGATTTCATCTAGTTGGGGCATTCTTGTTTAGAGTCTGATTCCTAACATTATCTTACAAAATAACCAATTTGCTTACTGAATGATGAGCTGTGCTAATGAAAATTGGTCTAATTAGTAAGGATGCAATTCATATTAAGCTAATAAAAAGAAAGACTATTGTTGAAAGATTACCCTTGTACTACTTTGGTTTTACAAACTTTTTTTTTTAATACTTTTTTGCCTGTCCCAATCATCAGTTATATATAAAATATAAAATCTATTGTAACATAATACTTTTTAAATTCAACAAAATACGAGAAAAAAATAATGCGTCTAGTTAAATATGCAATTGAAAAGATTAATTCCAACATGACATGAAATTAATATTTCTGTCAAATTTGGCTTCCCCATCCTTACAAAATGTGTGTACGTGGAATAAACAAACAAAATATTTCTCTTTTTTTCCTCTCTAAATTATAGAATATTTTTCTATTAGAAGTAATCTTATTTGAAATACTTTTAGGTATATTTATCCCTTCAGCAGTGCCATGCTTCGTTGTTCTTTTCTTTCATCCTTTTATTGGGCTATCTCCCTTGCCACTGGGTTCAGCCCAATGCCACTTATGGGCTAACAATATTATTAAATACAATAATTATAAAGAAATTATAAATATTATTGAGAGGATTGTATTAAAAAAAAAAAGAAAGTCAGAGGACTTCTTCACAGATCTTTGGGGCACGCCATTAATGGTGGCACTAGAGATTGGCGCGTGACTGCGTGGGTGTGTGCAACTCATTCCTATTACATTGTTTTTGATTACTTTGATATGATTCTTCTTTGCATGGATTTGGGTTGAAAATAAAGAGTTCATGCTTAATTGACTCATTTTCGCTGAGCTTTAAATTCGATCTTATTTTTTTGTTTACTTTATCTCAATAATTTAAGTAATACAATTGTTTGAGTTATTTCTCTATCGATGAGCAAACCCATAATTCCTTCATAAAGGATGCTTCTTCATGTTTCTTTCTACCACTACCATTAAAAGGTACTATAGTGCAAAAATTGAGTTCCATGACTTCCATCACCTTTCAAAAAATAATCCAACCTCTTGTGCTTCTTATAAATATAATTCCCACAATTTTTAGAATATGACCTAGCTTAAAGAACTACGTGTTTAAGAGATGGTTTGGTTCTTGTCGTACTACCTCCGGTTTTTAATATAAAATTTAGTAATTGAATTACAAAATAAATCTTGCAGCAAGAACTAAAGGTAGTAGTATTATAGAATTTTTATTTATTTGCAATCTAGAGACAATTATGCATGGTAAGTTATGAGAGCCAACTCATAACTTCTTTTAATGAACCTAAACATTCTTATTGGCTTTTTCAGATCATATTGTATACATGCTTATAAGCAATTTTACATAAGTTGAGAAATTTTTTTTAAATATATTTATCTCGTACTTTATAAATTATTAAAAAATATTTTTATAAACTAATCAAACAAACCAAGCTTTCATTTTCAATATTTGACATGGTTTTTTTATAAAAATAATTTAAAGGCATTTTAATAATTGTAATTCAGCTTTTGATTTTTAATTTTCATCATATTAGAGGACTTATCGCAACAGTCAAGATATTTAGATAAATAAGGGCTTTAATATATTGAGAGGGAAATTATTACTATAAATTTTAATTAATAAATATTAAACTAAAAGAAGAGCAGGTTTCAACAAAAAAAAAAATTATGCATCAGGATTATATAATTAAGACAAAATAAAAATATAGGGCGCATACTTTACTCTATACTACCTTCACATCCAATTCTAATTATAAGATTTTATTTATAAGCTATAAATGATATCTTATAATTAGGATAGAAGATATTATTTTATTATAAATTATAAATAATAATATAATAGTACAATTCATACAAATAGCAAAAGTAAATTTGTTACCCACCAAAACAAATCTTTTCTTACCAAAGCCTTTATCATTATTAATTGGATCTCAAAATTGTGCATAGCCGTCTGTGAGGAGCAGGCGGCCTGTCATCCATCGCTAAACGACTCCCTAATCGCATCACCCAGAAGAACACACAAAATTCCCAATTTCTTAGAGTAAGAAATTCCCATTGTTTGCTTTTTTATTTTGTTTTGCCCCAATCTTTGTCTATCCATGGAGGTGCCAAGTTCATGGGACGCCCTTCGCAAACAGGTTCAATCTCTCTACCTTTGAATTCTATATATATATATTTTTTGCTTCTTGCATTAGAGTTCGAGAAATGATTTCAATTTGTGCAATTCGGAGGCCCCAGATTCGCAATTTCCATTCTTAAGATTCTTTCATGTTGTCGGTGATTGAATTCGCGAGATCAGCTTGTAACCGACGACTCGGTCTGGTTTGTGGAATTATGATTTCCAATGGTGGAAAACTATTTCTGGGTGCTGAGGGAAGCTTCCATTGATGGATGGGACTTAGAAAGTCTTGTTCTTGTGGTAGATCGTGCTCAATTTTGTTGGGGCAATGCGTGTTATATAGGCAATAAGTTCTTTCTTTGGTTTATGTTCAGTTTTATTTCATAAGGAGTCAAATCACGAAGACTTGAAATGCGTCGGGCTATTTCGCTCCTAGATTCTGGTTCATTATTAGTTAACCATCGGTTTCCATCAGATTTAGGGCAGACAAATTAGAAGAAGGCCTAATTTCCTCAGGGAATTGATCCTTTTGATGATGATCTGGGCATAGCTTGAATAATTTAGATAGCCTATTAAGCTTCCTTGAAGCCGGTTGATTTTCCTATTTTAATCATCATACCACATTATTAATGCCAAGAACAAAAAGATTTGGGGAATTTGACGTTGTCAACTATCTTAAAGTGTTCTTTCATTGATTTTGCAAGGGTAATTTGATGCGGTTATCTTGTTTATGCATTTTTAAACAGATGATTGACGACAGAAATGTGCCTCTCTTTGATCTTTTGTAGGCGAGAAAACTTGAAGCTCAGTTGGATGAGCAAATGAATTCTTATCGTAAATTGGTTTCTGCTAAAGCTTCTTCAAAAGCTGATAATGCAGAGAGTGACATGGAGTCTTGGATTGAGCGGTTACTAAAACAACTCCAACAAGTGAACTCACAGATGCAAGCTTGGGTATCATCTGGTGGGTCAGAAATGGTTTCTCATACTTTGACAAGGCACCAAGAAATTCTTCAAGATCTCACCCAGGTAAGCTGCAGTGTTAGTTTATGTGCAGTTATCCTTGTATGGTGTTTGGAATTTCAATTGCTTCAGTGAAGTAGATTTGTAAACATGGGACACATGTATGATGCACCCTGCTGCAAAGGTTTCATTCTTGCAAGTGGAATGAATTGAAAAGGTAAATGTTATTAAATTTGTCACCACAGGGTAATAAACGATCAAAGTTTTGCCAAATGAATTTAGAATTGATTTTGTTTCCTACAATCAAAAGTACAGCATGCGGTGGTTATTTCATGCGAGAATCTTAATCTTGTGATCAAATCACTATTCAGCCCAATTAGTGTTCAGTGCTTAGTTTCCGATCTTTTACAGCCTCTGTCCTTTTTCTCCTGAGGGCAAGGGGGGCGTGATGATATCAGATAGATGAAATTGATTTTGTAACTCCTATTATTTATTACACTTATATCATGTACATAAAGTCTGTTCCATCTTTCTCCTTCTTTGTATTTTGATATTTTGTGTTCATTTATATACCTTTGATTCATTTTTTACAAGCATACGAAGATTTATAACTAGGTATGGACCTGCTGTATACCAACCTGTTGTTAGATATTTTCAAGTGCAGGAGTTTTATCGTCTACGATCTAGTCTCAGAGCTAAGCAGGAACATGCTTCACTCCTTGATGATTTTAAAGAGTTTGATCGGACAAGATTGGACTTAGAAGAGGGTGGAGGTTCTGCTGAGCAAGCACTACTAAGGGAGCATGCTTCTATCAGCAGAAGTACAGGACAGGTCTGTCATATGAAACTGTTACTTAGCTTTCCTGATGTTAAGAGCCATTGTCTTGTTTTTTAATCAGTTATTCTCAGTGGAACTATTAACCTTGTATGATGTGTGATTCTTCCCTTTTGGCCTTAGCATTGTATGTCTGTTTGTGTAGGAAATTGGCCTAGGGAGTCCTTAGGAAGTTGTTCCAGGGATTTAAAACAATTACACAAGCCACAGATTTTTCTTGCGAGATTGGGGATTTGTTGAGAACTAAGAGAAAATTTGTTTCATCCCCACTATGCACCGAAAAAAAAAAAAAAGGCAATCTGATTCTTTGTGTGGTCAGATATTGGAAAACTATATGAGAAGACATGGTATAGTAAGTCTTTTGTTGAAATTTCACTTGTTAGGAATGACGAGTGATCTTGCTGTATGTAGGAAATTTTTTTGCCCTATTTATAGTAACTATTTTTTCTTGTGAGGACTAAGGAGAAGGAGCTGCTTATATGTATGTTTGCTGGTTTGACAAATAGGAAAATTCAGTCTTATGCAATACTGGCAGTGAAATTAAACTCTTTATCAATGCTGTGTGGTCTCTTCCCTCTTCAGTGACCAAAATGGAAAACTGAATGCCAATGTATCTTTAGTTTAAGGGGAAAACAATAATCTACTTTTTAAGATTTTTGTGGAGAATGAGCTAGTAACTTTAAAGTCAGTCATCTGGAAGAAATAGTAAGGCCCTTTCTTTGGTGTGCTAGTATGGATATTTAAAATGGTTTGCTGGGGCATATAAAAATGCTGCTCCGTAAACACTCATTTCTCCCCCTGATATTTCCGGTATCTTCAGCTTGTATTGTCTTGTTTTGAATTGTCCTGCTTATTCCTGTGCTTCAGATAGACAATGTTATTTCACAAGCACAAGCAACATTTGGTGCACTTGTCACCCAGCGTTCAACTTTTGGAGGAATCAATTCAAAGCTCAGTAATGTCAGCGGTCGCCTTCCAACGGTATGCCCCATGGCTATGTAGTCTTTTGTGTTTTAATCATTTTGAAATTTTCTGCTATGAAGCACAAATACTTAAGAACTAAGTTGTGATCCTTGTTAAATACCTTCTTAGGCATGACATGAAAGCTTTAGTCTTTTAGATTTTGTTGTGTTGCAGTTTGTGTCCATATCCGTGTTTTTTAGGCTGTTTAACGTGCCTGTCACACTGATGTTTCAGGTGAATAACATTCTGTCGGCGATAAAGCGAAAGAAGTCGATGGATACAATCATACTTTCCCTTGTTGCATCAGTATGCACATTTCTCATTTTAATCTACTGGTTGACCAAATGAAAGTGTTGTTCTTTTGGTGGTTTCTTGTGTATGTTGTAACTGTTGGAAATTCACCTGATCGCTTGGGATTAATCGTTTGTATTATCTTTTTGCTCACAATTTTTTTTTTTTGTTAGTAGTGTTTTGTTGATCAACCCTGTAGCTGAAAGTGTAATGGTCTGTAGAGGTGGAAGGGTTACTCATGCCAAAAGATTCAAAAAGATATACAAATTTGTTAGTATTCTTTGAAATTTCTTGGTTCCCCTCAAGTCTTTCTTCATGTTTTCTTGGTGAATTAAATATATACCACTAGGTCAAGAGTTATATCTTGCTTAGAAAGTAAGAAACGCGTTGATTTTTCATTTCACAAAATTGAAGATATCTAATATCTTACAAGTATTTATACCAAGTAAAACTCTATTGTTAAAACATTAAAAAGTAATTCACTTTTTATGACTACTTAATTATAAAAACTCAATTTACCTAATCACGTGAAGAAAATAATTATGTTTAGTTGATGTCTTAAAAATTTACTTCTTTTCAATTTTACCCTCAATTAAATGCCTAAGAATGTATCACTTCTTTTGATTTTTGCTCCTGCATGTGGCCATGTGGGCTAGGTGCTAGAGTGTCTAGAAGTAGCCAGTGGAGTCAACTGTCCATTTTATACTCACAAAATGAGTGGAAAGAATATACTACCTTGTGTGTGTGTATATGTATATGTTCCTCCTGTCCTAAAAATAACACCTCTTTTGTAGTGTAAGACTTTTTTTGTAGTACAAAAAGGGTTTTATATTTAGGACTGGAGGAGTGTGTGTATAAATATGTAATTCTATGCATTGGTTCTTATGTAAAATTTAATAAAATATCTGTGACTTGCTTTTAATAATATGTCTCTGTTACTCTTAGTTTCATTATAATAGCTTTAATTTGATTAAAAATAACTTTAAAAATTATAACATCTTTTATATATAATTAATTTTAGCTCATTCTTTAATCTCAAAAAATTAGTTAGCACAACCCTTTAAGATGGTTCAGAAGATATGATTGGTTAGTTGAAGAGAGAAAGAGGAAAGAGCAAAAGAAATAACAAAATTAAATATCGCTCTCTATGATTTGAATTTATGCTGCTCTAGAGGTCTTGGGAAGATTTGCTTCTTCTCAGACTGTATGGAGGCAATTAATCTGGCTACTAAAGGGTGTGATGATGATTACCCTTTTAAGGATTTGGTGGATAACATCCGAATAGCCATAAGTAGGAACTGATAGCTTGTTTTTTATCATGTGGATAGGCAGATGATTTTCTTATCTGATCAGTTAGCTAAATGTGCTCATACATTAGATAATAATTTTGTATCCTTGATCACCTGCCTCCTCTTAATTTTGAGGCGGATGGTGATGAAGGATAGTAGGACTGTTTAGCTTTGTTTTGTATTTTGGTTTGTTTTTATGGCTTTATGTTATCATTAAAAAAAAAGAAAAGAAAAGGCCACAAACTCCAACTTTGGATGGTTCACAAGAGTGTTGTATTTTATATCGCTAGGCTATATTTATTAAAAGTAAGAGTTAATATAATCTTTGATCATTCAAATTTGCTCTTATGTTGGTTTTAGTTCCTCAAGTTTTAAACTATAGGTTTTGGTATCTTAAAGGACAAAATGGTCTAAGTTTTAAATGGATTAGAGGGACCAATATTTTAAATAAAAAAAATTTGAGGGAACAAAACTTGTGATTTGAAACCTGAGGGGACCACAACCAGAATGAAGATAAACTTGAGGGATCAAAGTTTGTATTAACCCTAAAAGTAACTTCTTAATCCCCATGAAATTGCAGTGAAGTTGGTGATCTACAGTGAGCTATAAGCAGCTTGATTAAGATAATAAATTGTGATATTTCTCTCACTTATTTTCTTTATAAGGAACTTGGAGGAAAGGTCTCGTGCTTTTTTTGGCTCTGAGGCACATGTATCTTTTTATTGGATACTACTACTATCTTGTATGAGAAACTGCTGAACATTAAATATGTGTATTTTCTTAAACGAAAGTTTAAATATCGTTCATTGAGTCGTGAGAGACTAGCTTATTATGACAAAAACAAAAAAAGTAAGAAACATGTTTTTCTCCATACAACTACTTGACCGGGTCATATTGGCTCGAGTATTTTTGGGTCGAATTGGAGATAACTCTCCCAAAATTGTATTCTGCATTTACATGGATTTAAACTTGAAACCTTTTGCGCTTAAGAGGCCAAAAGTTTTTTGAAGGTGTATTTAATGGGCAAAGTTCTGACAAAAAAAAAAAAGATTAATGGGCAAAGTAAAAAATTTATTTAAATTTTAGATAAAATTGGTACTACCTCCGGTCCTTAATATAAGATCCTGTTTGACTTTTATTTTGGTCCTAAATATAAGATCTCAATCCACTTTGTCTCTCATATTTATACATTTTTTTCAAAGTAACCCTTCTAACAATGATAGTTATAGTCAATACACTTGATTAGCAATGATATTTTAGTAAAGACAACACCTATTTAGGACAAATAACTAACTCAACTTATTTTCTTAATCTCCTCCAATTAGTCAACTGGTTCTTATAATTAGGACAGGAGGAAGTAATTTTTAAAATTTTATTTGATTATATTCCAGTAAAAAATGTTGAAACTATTTTATAATTGAGATTGGGTTGTGGTATGTACCGGGGAAAAATCAGTTGATGCTCAATCTAGCTTCCTCCCTAAGCTTTAACCTGCAAAGTCTAAAATTCATACAATTAAAGAATTTCAGCTAGGGGCAAAGTGGGATGGTTCAAACACAACCATAATTTTATATATTAAATAACAAACGTTTCTTTGAAGTTGAAGATATATAATTGTAATTAAATCCACCGATTTTATAAGATTAATAAATTAGCAACACAATATTCCTTTTTTTCTTTTTCAAAAAAACATAATGTTCCTCTTTATCTTTATTACGAGGACTTATTGACAACTTCATACATATAAATACATTTAGTTAAAATCAGTTAATATTTTTAAAATTTCCAAAAGCTATTAAAATCTTTTAGAATTATGCTTAAGAAAATTCAATAAGAATAATTATAGCTATATAAATTGAAAACAATTAATAAGTAAGTCTGGATAATTTCACTTTATTTTTAATTTAAAATATTTTAGAATTATGCTTGATAAAATTCAATAAGAATAATTAAAGCTACATAAATTGAAAAAAAATTAATAAGTAAGCCTGGATAATTTCACTTTATTTTTAATTAAGTTCTTATAATTTTTTCTTTTTATTGAATTCTTATATTTTCTTAATTACAGCTATTAATTTCTATACTAATGATTTTAATTTGCAATAATCATCATAACTCCCCCTTAGCATGCACTTGAATTTATTTTTTCACATGAATCTAAATAAAATAAAAATTCAACCACATTACAAATTATATATATAGATGCAATGAGATTGTCATGAGCATAGTAATTTATTATTAGACAATATTTATATCAAGTTCCCTATATTTATTATATTAAGTTTTTCAATTGACCATGCGTATTATTTTTGAAATATTAACATTTAATAGCATTTAATTATACGTCACACAAAAAGAATTAGAACACATGATCATGTGTAATTGAGAAACTTTATATAATATATATAAGAAAATTGACCGAAATATTTTTCTTTATTTTTATATTAATAATAAATAAATTTTATTCCATTATTATTTTTTAATAAAAAACCTTTTTTTTAAAAAATGATTTTGTATTTGGTGACAATTTACACGTTCATTTAGTTCATATATATATATATATATATATATATCTGTCCTAACCAACAATTATGGATATGTAGGAAAGAACTATAAAGACTCAATAAAATGAAGGAAAAGCTACCTAGATCTAATTAAAACTATCAAAAGTTGATAGATTAATTTTTTGCCGACAAATTTTCAAAAATATCTTGGACCAAAGACTACTACAATTTTTTTTTTAAAAACAATCATCTTAAAAAAGGGACCAAGCGAGTACTATAAGACAAGCCTATTCATTCATTGAAAAGTAGGCAATATGATGTATGTAGGAGCCATATAGGGCGTGATCAACTAAAGGCATAGAGTGTACTAGGAAAAGACATTTGACCTAAAACTAAAATAGTGTGAAATGTGAAAGACAAACATAAAGTGAGAAGAAGGGAACATTATTAAAGTATGGGGCTATCGAAATTGGTACATTGTTGTTCGTCATAGGTTGTTTTAAGACAAACAAAGCAAGCACCAAAACATAGCTCAATTATTGAACTCAACTCATCCCTTTTTGGTTTTGGATTTACTGTTAGGGTGGCTCTTTGCACCTTACAATTATTTACATTGAAGAAAATTTGATGGTAGTTGTGTTCCTCATCAGTTAATTAAATCATTATATGTGCATGAAAGTGTTTCTTTTCTTTCAAGTTTCATAGCTTCCACTTTTGAGAAAATATCTTGTTTCCCACTATTTAAAAACAGAAATATAGAGATAGCTCTTGTAAAATACTTGTTCTAATCATAAATGTATCATAGATGTTATTAATGAAACTAGTTAATTTACTTATTTATAAAAAAATATGTGTTAGTTTTTTTAAAAAATATTCTATTGAATCATTTTGAAACTGTTGGAATTTATGGAAACCCCTCCAATACATATAATCAACAGAGATAGCCTTGAAAAAAAATTATAAATAACAATAAACAAAGTGAATTGAAATCTTAGATTTAAGACTAAGACAAAACCCCACTGGTTGTTGCGTTAACTTGTATGGGTTGGTTGCAGGGAAAAATGATCAAAAAATCTTTTACTGTTTTTTTTAAAAAAATTTCCTTGTACTACATCCAATTCTAAATATAAAATCTAATTTATAGTGTAAATTGCATAATAAATTAAATATTATAGTTAGGATTAGAAGTAGTAGTATTCTCTGGTGTCTATTAGACAGAAGCTCTTCCTTTCATATGCAAAGAGACAAATCAAAATCAATTTTTGTAGAAAAACAAGGACACGAAAACAAGAAGATAAATAAATCATTCATTAGAAAAATATTGTAATTTTTCCGATAAAGGTGGAGAAAATCTATTTTAAAATATATAGGAAAAATTACAAATAAAAACTCTCAATATGTAAAATTGCGATTTGGGATTCTAAATTTGGAAAATAACAAATAAGGATCGGGTCCCACTTTTGTAAAGATGAAATGTGAGTGAAATGCCTGAAATGCTCCTCAGTCAAATTGTGATTTGGTTTACTGAAATTGTCATTCGTTAAAGTGAACTTCTTATTTTCAATAGTCAACTTATCATTTGACATACCCTCAACCAAGTTGTGATTTGGTCTATTGAAGTTGTTATTCGCTAAAGTGAATTTGACATTTTCCATAGTCAACTTGTCTTTTGACTGAGGGGTATTTCAGACATTTTACCATGATTTCATATTTGCAAAAGTAGAACCGGATCCTTGTTTGCTATTTTTCAAATTGAGGATTCCAAATCATTATCTTATATATTTGGGGTCTTTATTTGTAATTTTTCCAAATATATATCCATATGCAAATTGTGTTGGATTATTTGAGAGTGCTCAATAATAAGCATATACGTGTTCGATGTCTTGTGACACGCATTTGACGTCATGTGATATTATTACGTAGGTGATTTACATGCACAGACACGTACAGTTCTGTGCTTGCTAGCCTTTTTTTTTTTTAAAAAAAAATTATATCTGTTGTATTTACATGTATATATGTATACGTACGTGTTTTATTTTACAATTTTCAAAATTAGAAAACTCTTTCGGTCTACTAAAGAAAATTATAATGACAATCTGATTTATGAATAGCATGTACGAGTAAAATTGATTCCTCAAAAATAATTTGAGAGAGAATACTTACGTGGATTTTTTTATATTTATCATGTTAAGTCCTCTAATCACACATAATTATATATACTATATTTGAAATATTAGTACTTAAAAACATTTTATTATAAATCCATATAAAAAAATTAGGACACATGACCATGCAAGTATGATTAGAGAACTTGTCATAACGAATTAAGTTGTGAAAGGAGTCAATCCCTCTCACAGCATAATAAACTAAGATTTAAACCTTATTAAAAGAGGTATCTACATCTAATATCCAACGTTAGATTAATACATAAGAAACTCTGCTTATGAAAAAAACCCCTCATAACAAATATTATCTTCGATATTTAATGTAAAACCCATCTAACTAATTTAAAAAGATAAAGAAAATTACTAAATTACTTAACTATAACACATGTTATATGATATCTCTAAAATACTTATATGAATCATTAGATTATATATCAATTTATAAATGAGGCAAATTAGTTGGGAGAAAAAACAATAAATATAAATAGGTTAAAGTAATTTAGTAACTTCCTTTTATCTCTCCAAATTAGTTAACTCATCTCTGTTTTTTTTTTTCCGCCTCAAAAATGAAAAGAAAAAACTTGGAGGAACCAATATCAAACGGAGCCTTAATGATGAGCAAAACTTGATCTAAGACATTAGATACTGACAGTGACGTTCTTACTAGGTGTTTGCTATAAAAAGGCCTTGAAAATGAAAAATAGTGATTCTACTTCACGGTACAGAGCATTTTCTGTCATTGCATCCATGTCATAATACTTCTTCATCTTTCTTGCTGTTCAACCAAACTCCATCGTCATCATCAACAAATCCTACATCATATGAACATTATTTGAAAACATCGTCAGAGCTGATCATTTTGCAGAGACTTGTTCAATGGACAGCCAAGCAGACAAGACCCAGAAACAGACAGAAACAGAGGATCAACAATGCCAACAACGTAGTTTATCTTCTTCTTCCCCTCCTCCTCGTCTAGATCTAAGTCTCTGTAATTACTCCTCATCTGAATCCCCCCATGGCAGGATCTTCTCCTGCAACTACTGTCACAGAAAATTCTACAGCTCGCAGGCACTTGGGGGACACCAAAACGCACACAAGCGTGAGAGAACTCTGGCCAAAAGAGGACACAACAACAACGTTGGTGGTTCTGCTTCACATGTTTCTGCAGATTTTGGACAAAGGTATTATTATTCATGTATGGCTTCTCTTCCTTTGCATGGCTCCTCCCATAACAGACCACTCGGGATTCAAGTTCATTCCATGATTCACAAGCCCTTCTCTACTTCTTCTTTTCAACCACGTCGTTTCCAGAAGAATCATCCATTATCCGGGGCTTCCTATGTTTGGACAGGAACTGAATCATCATCAGCTTCTTTAACTTCTGGGACTCCAAAGTTTTCTCCAAGGCCTGTCACAGAGGAACTTCACAAACTTGACTTGTCCCTCAGACTGTGAACAAGCACACTGTACTGACATCACAGTATATGTAATGCTGAATTGTAATTTTGAAGTCACACAGAGACACATTTCCAACATTTTATGTAATGTTTCAGATACTTTAAATGCATTCAGGCAAATATCTGAGGTTGTGTTCTGGAAACTCACAGACACTTGAATTTGGAAAATGATATATACATTAAAATCTAATTGTACTTCAGTATGTCAAGGAGTTTTGTCTTGTAAAATATAAAGGAGTGTTTTCTTGAAAGTGATTATGAAGGTTTGCCAAACAAGATTAATTATGAAATTGTTAAGTTAATGAGTTTTGGATCATAGTTATGACGGCTGGGGGGGGGGGGAGAAGGATGTGAGTGTGTTGTGAAGGTTTTTTTTTTTTTGCTTTAATCATGTTGTGAAGGTTTTCACAGGGAAAAATGGTGTTGATGATTCAGACTTTGACCCATCTGCAGTTAAAGAAATAGACAATCTTCTGTGTTTGCTATCTATTATTATTAGGTGAGGCAAGCCATGTGAAATCAAACCACGCAAGCTTCCTCCCCTCTCCTATTTCCATCACATCAAATTTATTAAAACCATCTTAGGATATATCTTCAATTACTCGATCAAATTTTTATAATCTGACCAATTATGTATATGTTAATGTTAAAAAAAAAAAAACAATATGTTAGGTCAAGTAAAAGAGACTCGATCCAACATAAGTAAAGTTTGCCCAGAGAGTACAATTTTAACTATGATTTAACTGCACAACTAGTGCACCACAATTAGGATTTTTTTTGTTGTTGTTGTGAAGATCCAACATATGATGTTAGATCACCTATTCTGAACATTTAGTAAACCAAATTAAATAATGAGTAGGTCAAATAAAAATTTGTTCAAAACTAAGTTTTTTTTATCATGAGAACCATCTAATGTCCATATTATATATAAACTATTCTCAATTAAAACAAATGGAATCCATTTTGTTCAAAACTAAGTTTTTGTTGTCTTCTTACCTAAAAGAAATCTCGTGGGAGGACCCACAGATAGATAGGTGTCCAAATCAGTGTGCTGCTTACAATCTAATCTGAGTTTTGTTGGATTTAAGCATGAAGACTGTGATAGAATTAAGAAGCAAAAGTAACTGAAAAATAGACATAACGACAGCTCATAATGTTAATAATCACACATTTGAGACAACAATAAAGCAAAGATACGCATTAAAGTCTGTTAACATGGTTTAGGACTTAGCTAGCTATAGTTGTTGGGTTGGTTGTCAAATAGAGTTAAGGGTAAGATGGCTCAGTCGTAAGAACATTAAATATTAATGTTTTGTTGGGACTAAAAACTATGGGGGAACCATCAATTTTTGGGTCTGAAAATAGAAAGCAACACTTGAACTGAAACTTTAGGACCTATCATTTGGGTGTGTGTGAATGGGATTAGGTGATAAATTCTGAAGCAACAAGATGATCAAGATCTTCTTTGATGATCAAACTCAAGACCTTTTTTGTCGTTTATCTTGAATGTGAGATGTATATATATCTAATATATATTGTCGGCATAAACAAGTTAGTTGGTGGACTTTATTCATTGTTTTGTGCTTCAATTTTCAAGCTTAACGTTTATTGTACGTTGATTTAATATCTTTCACAAATGATGTTGCCAAACTTATTGATGTATACTACTTCTTTGGTCCTATTGATAAAGAAAAGAGAGAATTTTTTTAATTTTATTTATAATTTATTTCATTAAAATTTTAGCATGAATGTACTATTTTGTCCTTTATTTATTATAAGGTAGATAGTTTCTTTTTGAAGGTTTATATATTAAATTGAGGTAAAATTAAAAAGTTGTTATATTTTAAAAGAGAGCTAATATAGTTTAAGATTTTTCTTAGTTTGTATAAAAATACGAGAAATACCCTATAAATACAATTAGGGGAGTATCTTTTGATCCTATTTATAAGGTACAAAAAGAATATTTTTTTTATTCTATTTGTAAGTCACATCATCACATTTTAAAGCATGATACTATCAATTCGAGTAATATGATATGCTTTATTTATTCACAAAGAGTGCATTGTGGGAGAGAGAATGAGTAAAAGAAAAAGATAAGAGAGACACAAAATTATTAGGAGAAGAATGAAAAGAAAAAGGGTTAAAGTTTGAGACATTGTCAATATCTTATAGAAAGGACTAGATTATTCAAAAAACTTACATTGAAGCTTATAATGAGAACCTAAAGGAAGTATGAGTGCTAATTGTCTTGCTTAATTTCAATCATGCACATTGACTTCTTAAAAAGAATCCTAATGTTGGCTAAATTTCCAATACTTAGGGGTTTTAGTTTGCTCTACACCAATCATAGAAGAGAAGTATACTAGAAGACCCTCGCATTGAAAGCAAGATTTAACTTTACGTCCTTATATAACATACTCTTTTGAGAGAAAATCAATTTTTTGGTCATATTTACAGGGCATAAAGAAATTTTTTTATATGAATGTATAATTTTACTTTTTATTTATTATTGTGTTAATTTTATTCTCATAGGCTATAATATATATTAAATAGGAATAAAGTTAGAAAGTATTGAATTTTAAGACAAAGTTAATGAATTCTAAGATTTTACTTGATATGTGTGAAATATGTTTTGACAGTAACTTAAAAATAGGACTGGACAACTATTATACTAGTCTGATCCCTATTATATATTTAGATTCACGTCTAGGATCCATCAATGTTAAGTGAGCTAGTCGGTATAATTCTTTTTCTCCACAAATTTCAATCGTCATAAGAAAGCCAGGAAGCACATTAATGTTTGTGGTAGTGTGTTGTTGCAGTCATTATATCAAATTTGGTTATATGAATGGGTTATATTTAAATATTATCAAAAATGGTGCTTGTCCCCTTCTCTTTCTTTCTTTATATGAAGTTGACTTTGGTTATCTTAATCTTTCTGTTAAGGCCAATTTGATTGTATTGTTGAAACATGAAAGAATCATTTGTATCAATTTTGTATAAATTATATTATTGTACATGCTTAGTAATATTAAGGTCACCATTATTTAATTAACTTATTTAAAATTAAGATGTATTATTGAAATCACTTGTTTATTTTTTTTTCTCACAAAACACTTTTTACATGTGTCATGTGTATTAAACTCATAAACCGCAAAATATAATACGACATTACCGACATGGCCTGCCAAAAATTAAATCCCAATATTCACAAGCATGTAGTCAAATTGTTAGTCACAAATCAATCTCTTTGACTAAACAACTTAAAGACTTGTTCCCATTACATGCCTTGTTATGATATGCTATTTTATGAGAGGTTTAATACTATCCACAGTTTTTAATATAAGTGCTAAATATAATTTGGAGATATTTAGAAAATTAATTAAGTTGATTATTTGTCACAAATATGTATTAGTCTCTTTAAACTATTCTTTTCAATCATGTACATTGAATGATTGAAATTATTCCGTGAAAGGAACCACTTACAATTAATAGGGTTATTTTGAAAAAAGATTAGAGACAAAGTGGATTGAAATTTTATATTTAGGATCAAATGTAACCCTCAAGTAACTCTTATTTTAAAGACCAGAAATACTACCTTTAATTATTTTTTTAATTATTTTTATTGATATGCATGGATGGATTAGAAGTAATTCGTATTTAGGAGTAGAGGGAGCACAAGAGTATTTTTGTCAATGAGGATGAAATTTGGGATTTCAAAGTTTTTTATGCATTTGGTCGGACCTTTTATATTTTAAAGTAATTTTTCCTTAATCCTTCCTTGTGTGGCTATCGCACGACGTGGGTAGCCCTGCTCTTCTCCTACTCCTTGACCTTCTCTTCACCTTCAAAATTCACACTTGGTTTTTTAAACTTTCACGCTCCTCTTCTTTCTTCTTCTCTATTCCTTTCTTTCACTTTTCCACGCCCTGCTTTTTTCTGCTCGTCAAGGTTCCCCATGTTTCCTCCATATTATACATATTCATTAATTGCAGGACATGAGATCTTGCTTGCACAGGGCAGTATGTGGTATGGTAAATTTGAAACCAAGACATTTGTACAGTCCTTAATGAATTTAATTAGGAAAAATGACAAAAAAATGATACTTAAACTAGGGCTGTTCACGGGACGGATTGGGACAGGAACAGGCCCGTTCCGGTTCCGTCTTGATGAACAGTAACGGGACAGAAAATCTGTCTCGTGTCGGAACGGGACAGATTCGGGACGGGACCGGGACGTCCCAAAGTTTGTTTATTTATTTTTTTAAAAAAAATCTGATTTTTTTTAAAAAATCTGATTTTTTTAATTATATTTTTTTGGGCTTAAACCTTATAAAAACATCTTTTTATTTTCTTTTTTATTTGTTTGGATACTTTTAAACAAAAGCTCAAAATATTACATACAATAGTCATTAAAAACTCTAAACAAAAGCTTTTAACACAATAAAAACTTGTTAAAAATTTTAATCATCAATAATCTCAAATCATTAACAAATATAAAAGCTCTAAATAAATATATTCATAGTTCCATACAATAGTCTCAAATCTTAAAAAAATATGAAAAAAATGATATTATATAAATAGGATAAAAAATTAAAAAAAATTAAAAAAAGGAACCGGGACCGGACGACCCCATCCCGTGTCCTGTCCCGTGTCCCGGTCCCTTTTTGTCTCGTCCCGTGTCCCGGTCCCTTTTTGTCTCGTCCCGTGTCTCGGTCCCTTTTTGTCCCGTCCTGGTTTGTCCCGTCCCGTCCCAATAAGACCGGGACCGGAACGGGCCGACCAGGATGGGCCGGCCTTGAACACCCCTAACTTAAACTTAGAAATCCCAAAATGGTCACTTGAATAAATAAAATCTCAATTGAAGTATCGGTAACCAAATTGAGATTTGAAAATTTGTTGAAATGACCATATTGCCCTTTATTTTTTGAAAAACCCAAATACGCTCATTAATCGGGTAGTCGTCGGAACTCCGGTGCCAGCGACAGCTGCCGATGTCACATCCCACTAATTTTAACTGTATGAGTATAAGTAATGAATTAGATAGAGGGCCAAGTGGTAAAGTAGATTCAGAGTTGGAATAACTTTTGAAGTGAGATCCGACTCCTGACCAGACTATCATTTTTAAAATTAGTAGTCTAGG